CACAGCTGGAATTCCCAAAGCCAGCTTCCATGGCAGCGAGCTCCGGGGGAGAAAGAGTCCCAGGGGAATTCCCAAAGGAGCAAATCTTCGGGAGAAGGTACCTTGCCCCACGTCTTTGGGAGAAGGGAGGACGCCACACTTGGAGTTGTGGGTGCTGTTGCCTCGGCTGAGTGTCACAAACCCCGAGCTCTCACAGCTGCAAGAAGAACAAGAGGCACCTTTGGAATATCCCTGTTTTCCCTTACCCCTGTTTTCCCTTATCCCTGTTTTCCCTTATCCCTGTTTTCCCTTCCTTCCTCTCTTGGCTCCCCTTTTTCCTTCCCCTCCCTCTTCCCACAGGTTGTTTCCTTGAATCCCCTTTCACAGCAGTGCAGGTGAAGTTGTTGCTGTTCCCCCACGTCACAACTGCTTTATATTCCCCTTTTCTTTACTCTCTTTGTTTCCACTTTGGAATAATGTCCCTGTTTGGAATAATTTTTCCATCAGTCTGAGCTTGACTTGGAAGCAAGTCGAAAACCCAGCAGTTTGTCTTAAGTTCTGCTTTGAGACTGACTAAAAAGCCTAAAGAGACACATCTGGATTAATTTAAAAACCTCATCAGTTAATCTCTTGTCTTTGATTGGGTTTTGTTTTGCAGCGTCAGCATTAAATATTTTAATTGGTCTTTAAACGTTAATTAATAATTAATAATAATTAAAAATTATTTTTGAGTATTTAAATGTTAATTAATATTAATTTAAATATACCAATAATATTAATATTATTAAATATTATTTAATGTTACCTTTAACATATTAATAATACTAATATTATTTAAATATTAATTAAATTGATATTTTAATATTATTTTAAATAATTAGATAATTATTAAAACATCAATGTATAGCCATTAATAACAATTAGCATTATCAAGTAATAATACCTATTTCATAATATTAATAATATTAAGATGATATTTAAATAATAATAATATAAAAATATAATATAATCTAAATAATAATTAATATTAAATCACTATATAATATTATATATTATATAGTTATGTATATTATATATTATTATATATTATTTTATATATATTAATATATTCTTATATATTAATATATATTATATATAATATTTTATATATAATATTATATAGAATTTAATATTAATACTATTAAGATGATATTTAAATAATAAGATAATATTAATAATATAATAATCCAAATAATAATTAATATTAATTACTATATAATATTATCTAGTAATTTAATATTAATAATATTAATATGCTATTTAATTAATAATAATATAATATAATAATCTAAATAATAATTAGTATTAATTACTGTATAATATCATCTAGTAATGCTGATTACTATTACTATTCTACTGCCTATTTTCCAAGCAGGGCAATGCCAATAAATCCATACTCAGTCCAGTTCCTGCACCAGCCATTCTTCACACTGGAATAAGTTCCCGTCTCGCAGGGTTTGCACTGGAATGTGAAATCTGTGTCTCCTGCAGGAAGAGAGAAGGGGGAGGGTCGGTGCTCAGATCCTGCGTGGAAAGGTGGGATCGGAGCAGCGGGAATTCCCTGCAGGGATGGAGCAGCCCCTGGGGAGGCTCAGAGGGGCAGAGGCTGATGTGCCAGCACAGGAGGGCAGAGGCTGATGTGCCAGCACAGGAGGGCAGAGGCTGATGTGCCAGCACAGGAGGGCAGAGGCTGATGTGCCATCACAGGAGGGCAGAGGCTGATGTGCCAGCACAGGAGGGCNCACAGGAGGGCAGAGGCTGATGTGCCAGCACAGGAGGGCAGAGGCTGATGTGCCATCACAGGAGGGCAGAGGCTGATGTGCCAGCACAGGAGGGCAGAGGATGATGTGCCAGCACAGGGAGGGCAGAGGATGATGTGCCAGCAAAGGAGGGCAGAGGGGCAGAGGCAGATGTGCCAGCACAGGAGGGCAGAGGATGATGTGCCAGCACAGGAGGGCAGCTCAGAGCCCACAGGGACCAAACCGGGCTCCTCTGGCTGTTCCAGCAGGGAAAGTCCCCCTGGAAGTCTGAGCCCCCCAGGGAAAGGCTCAGTCAGGAAGGGGAAGGTTGGGTACAAAACAGGGGAGGGAGGGGGTTTGGCACAGGGAAGGGAGGGGGTTTGGCACACAGGCCACGTTTCTCCCTGAGCCTCCCCAAAAGCAAGGGAGCTTAATAAGCATAATAAGGAATATTATCTAGATATAAAGATGTATTATATTTTATTTATGATGCATTATATTATATTTTTATATATCTATAAAAATTTATTATAATTATATAATATGTATTATGTTATATGTAATATTATATACTATATCATGTATAAAAATTCATTATATATTACATTTTCTATATAATTTTATATTTTATATTTATAATATATATTTTACAATATATATTATATATATTTTATTATATATTGTATTTTATATATTATATTATAATATATAAATATATAAATAAATATGAATAAATATATAAATAAATTTTATAATTTATATATATTTATATATAAATATATATATATATTTTATATATCTTATATATTTTTACATATGTTTATATACAGAATATTATATATTATATATAATATATATTATATGTTATATATATTTATAATATATTTTTATATAATATATATTTGTATAATATATATATTTGTATATTATATATAATATTTATTATATATTATATTAATTATAGTAAAATCATAACAAGGCATATAATATATATATTCTAGCATATTATATATATTCTAGCATATTACTTATATATTATAGATTATATATAATGTTATATATTATATATAATTTTATATATAATATATTATATTATCTATTATATATTTATCATATATTTTTATATAATATATACATTACATATTATATATAATATTTATTATATTTAATATATTATATTAATTACATTAATCCTATTAAAAGCATAACAAAGCATATAATATATATATTCTAGCATATTATACATATATTCTAGCACATTATATATATATTCTACACAAGGAAGTGGGCAGGGCAGTGACATTCCAAGGCCTGGCAGACCCTTGGCGTGAGTGTGGTGGTGGTTTAGTTACCAATCCTGGTGAGCTCCTGGCCCTCAGCACACTCTGGCAGCTTCCTGCAGTACAGGCAGTTGTTATCCCCACAGCTGTGGCCCTGGGGGCACCTGCACTCGTGGTCCTCGATGCCCTGGCACAGGTTGTTGCCTGCTGCCAAAAAGAAAGAGCTTGGACTTGCCTCTCCACAGAGCCCACAAATTCCCATCGCTGGGAATAATCCCTTCCTGGAAGAACTGGATGCCAGAAGAGGCCACTGCCATCGCGCTGGGGGGTGTTTGGAGTGCCCAAAAGCAGCACCACTCACATTTTTATGCCTGTTGGCAAAGCTGGGTCTAAACCCAAGCCATTAAACCAGCACCTTTCCCACCCTCCATCCCTCTGTTTCCAGAGGAGTTTTGTCACGAACTTTGCTTGCCCTGAGAAAATATCCCCTCTGGTTCTGAGGGTTCATGGAAGAAAAGGATTGCTCATGTCTCCTGAGCCCTTCAGTGAACAGCACCAAGGCCTTGAGGCAGCAGGGAAAAGATGAAGAAGAAAAGGTTAAGAAGAAAAGGTTAGGAAGGAAAGATCTGCTCAATCCTGAAGCTGAGTAACTGTTAAAGGGAAAAAAAGCCTCCATGGAAATGCTGGCTGGGCCAGTGGTGTGATTAAAAACCCACAGAGAGCGGCAAAGATCATCTCCTGAGATTGGTGGTGGAATGTACAGGATCACCAGGGGAATGCCCACACCCTCCTGTGCCAGCTGCCCTCCTCTCCCTGACCTTCAGAGCTCCAGGAGGTGTGGAGCGAGTGCCAACAGCCTGGGGGGGCTTCTGGCTGAAAATCCCCCCCTGCTCAGCTCTGGCTGCACTAAAGACAGAATGGTTGGTCCTGGGACCATGGGAGGGGTAATGAGAATCCTCTGCTCTGTCCTGCAGCCTCCCAGACACAGGATGTGCCCTGGTCAGCCCTGCAGCTGCCCCCTCCCACCTCTGCTGCCTCAGTTTGACTTAAAATGACAGGGGAGTCACAATCATGGACCACACGATGGGTTGGGTCGGGAGGGATTGTAAAAATCATCTTGTTCCACCCCCTGCCACGGGCAGGGACACCTTCCACTGTCCCAGGTTGCTCCAACCTGGCCTTGGACACTCCCAGGGATGGGGCAGCCACAGCTTCTCTGGGCAACCCGTGCCAGGGCCTGCCCACCCTCCCAGGGAAGGGTTTCTTCTTAATATCCAACCTAAATCCAACCCCACCTCACCACCACCCTGAGATCAGGCAGGAACACAGGCTAGAACTGATGATCACCTTGTCTGTGCATTCTGGGATGGGCACAGGTGAGTGCCCACTGCCCTGGGAGCCTGTTCAGTGCCAACCACCCTCTGGGGGAAGAACCTTTCCCTGAGATCCAACCTAAACCTCCCCTGGCACAGCTCCAGCTGTTCCCTGAGCCCTGTCTCTGGTCAGCAGAGCTGCCCCTCCACTTCCCCTTGGAGGATCCAAGGCACCTCCTGAATTTAGGGCTCAGAGGAAACTCTTCCCATCTCTCTCTGCACCTCCAGCTCCTCGAGACGCGCTGGGCCAAACAAACCTCCCCTGGCAGACACAAAGATTCCCTTACCTTCCATCAGGATGCATTTGGGGCAGCATTTCTCTGCATCTTTGCTGGTGATTTTCCTCTCCCCAGGCTGGCACTGCAGTGCCAGGCTTTGCTGTGCCCAGAGCTCCAGGCACAGCAGGAGCAGCAGCAGCAGAGCCCGAGCCCTGAGGGGCCCAGATTTGAGGGTCATGTCTGGAGCAGACAACCCAAAAGCAGGGCAGGGTGGGCTGTGGCAGGGCTGTCCTGCCCCAGGGCTCCTTCCCCTGGCTCTGGGGCAGGTGCTGGGCTTTTTGTGGCCTCGCTCTTCCTGCTTTTGGAGGGGCGGGGAAGTGATTTCGGGCACGTCACCAAATCTGACAGCAGTGACTCTGAGGAGAGAACAGCGGGGTCAGGGTGAGGTGCAGCACCATCCTCCAAGGGGTTTGCAGGCGGATGGACAACTGGGAATTAAAGCAAATTAAGTGGTTGGGTGGATTCGGCGCAGCCAGGCTGTTTCATTCATGGAATCATGGAATGTTTGGGTGGGAAGGGACCTTAAAGCTCATCCAGTCCCACCCCCTGCCAAGGGCAGGGACACCTTCCACCAGACCAGGATGCTCCAAGTCCCATCCAACCTGGCCTTGGACACTTCCAGGAGTGGGGCAGCCACAGCTTCTCTGGGAATTCCCTGCCAGCCCCTCACCACCCTCACAGCCAAGAATTTCTTCCTAATATCCCATCTAAACTTCCTCTGTGTCAGTTTGAAGCCATTCCCCCTTGTCCTGCCACTCCAGGCCCTTGGAAACAGTCTCTCTCTCCTGTCAGCTCCCTTCAGGCACTGGAGGGTCACAGTCAGGTCCCCCCAAAGCTCCTCTTCTCCAGGCTGAACAATCCCAGCTCTCCCAGTATTTCTTTCTATCCACAGTATTTTTTCTCTCTCTGCCTGGAGTTTTATCAAGCACATTTGTTTAAAATGAAGGGATTTAATTTTAAATTAAAAGAGACAGAAGAGACAAGGGCAGGGTGATCTAAACCCCCTCTGTGTCAGTTTGAAGCCATTCCCCCTTGAAGCCTTTGGAAATAGTCTCTCTCCATCTTTCCTGTTGCTCCTTCAGGTCCTGGAAAGCCACAGTCAGGTCCCCTCAAAGCTTCTCTTCTCCAGGCTGAACAACCCCAGCTCTCCCAGCCTTTCCTCCATCCCTCAGATCATCTTGGTGCCTCCTCTGGACTCTCTCCAACAGAACAAGCTTCAACTTGGGAGCTCCGAACAAATTTAGAAACCTTCAAGGGTTTACCCATCAGATTTCAACGTCCAGGAAATTCATCCATCCACTCAGACCTTCTCATTCTGTTCACTGTTCTTCCCTTTGGATCAGGAGACTCCAGTTATTTTCCAGAGCTGATGTGGATCCACGTGGATGCCACGAAACCAAGGGAACGAATCCTGCAAGCTCAGCCCTGGGACCCAGGCTGGAAAGAGCTGCCCTGGGCTCTTCAGAGACCATTTATCCCCCCTGGGATTGGGGTGCAAAAGGCACTTGTTCAGCAGAATTGTACCCAGGCACAGCCTTGTTGCCTGTGAGCATCACCTGCTGCTGGGTTTCAGTTCCCAAACGTCTGGTCTGACACAAACACACACACACAGACTTCCATCTCTGCTGGAACTGTGCCCAGTTTGCTTCCCCCCATCCCCTCCTACCTCTCCTGTTCCCCAGGTTTGCTCTTAATCCTGTGCCTTGGGGCTGCTTTTACATGTGCACAGTGAAGACTATTTAAAATCCAACCCCGTTCCCAACTGAGCAGAGGGATTCTGGTGCAGAATCACCTTGTCATGGATTCAAGGCTCAGGAGAGTCAGAGCTGGGAGAAGCAGCTCTAGAAAATGCCAAGTCTGCAGTTTCTGACACTTGTCCTGCTAATTCCTGAGTTAAACAGACACCCAGTGAAGCCTGAATTAACTTCCCACAAGGCACCACTGCTCTTCCTTCAGAGTGCTCTGCACTTTCTGCCTGAAGATTCACTCCTGGATCTCAAAGAATAAACCAGTCAGAGAATAAATCAGCCAAAGAATAAATCAGTCAAAGAATAAATCAGCCAAAGAATAAACCAGTCAAAGAATAAATCAGTCAGAGAATAAATCAGCCAAAGAATAAACCAGTCAAAGAATAAGTCAGTCAAAGAATAAATCAGTCAAAGAATAAGTCAGTCAAAGAATAAGTCAGTCAAAGAATAAGTCACTCAACACACCCCTCACTTGGTCTTTGGCCCATCCAGGGATCCACCCGGATGGTGGTGGACCCCTGAATGGCTTCCTGGTGTTCCTGCTGTGGGCTGCAAACCCTCAGGTAGATTTGGCATGCAAACACCCCCTTCCAGCTTTAAAACTGCTACTGCAGAGCTGCCTGTGCCCTTTGATGTGCTGAGAGAAACCTTCCCACCCAAGGGCGACATCCAAGGCTGGCGGGGGACACGGGGCTCTGCCCTCACATTTTCCCACACGATGCCCTCGAGAAGGACAACTCTCATGTTTCAGAAACCAAAAGCCTCCTACCTGGTGCTTCTGCCACCCAGGGGATCCCCTGCTCTTCCCACACAGCCCTGCTGCTGGCTGGGCACAGCCTGTCCCGTGCCAGGGAACAGGGACATGATGGCACCGGTGCCCGGCTGGGAAACCCCACGTCGTGGGTCAGCCCCCTAAATCAGGATCCCTCTTCCCAAACAGCATAACCACCCTGCTTGGGCAGCCAGGGGAAGGTTTGGAGGTGCCCTGTGCAGCAGAACAACCGCTGCTCCCGCGGGATGGGGGATTTTGTGGGGGAAAATGGGAGTAGCAGAAGGTCAAGTCTCTCCACACCTTTTCTCTTGATGCCTCACCACCTTCATCTTCATCAGTAGAGCACAGAGACACAGTATGGGTTGGGTTGGAAAGGACCTTAAAGCTCATCCCATTCCACCCCCTGCCATGGGCAGGGACACCTTCCACTGTCCCAGGTTGCTCCAACCTGGCCTTGGACACTTCCAGGGATGGGGCAGCCACAGCTTCTCTGGGAATTCCCTGCCAGCCCTTCCCCACCCTCACAGCCAAGAATTTCTTCCTAATATCCAGTCTATGATTCTAAACCTCCTCTGTGTCAGTTTGAAGCCATTCCACCTTGTCTTGCCACTCCAGGCCCTTGGAAACAGTCTGTCTGTCCTGTCAGCTCCCTTCAGGTCCTGGAAGGCCACAGTCAGGTCCCCCCAAAGCTCCTCTTCTCCAAGCTGAACAATCCCAGCTCTCCCAGCTTTTCTTTCTATCCACAGTATTTTTTCTCTCTCTGCCTGGAGTTTTGTCAAGCACATCTGTTTAAAATGAAGGGATTTAATTTTAAATTAGAAGAGACAGAAGAGACAAGGGCAGGGTGGTGGTGCCAGGGCTCATTCCCTTGGAGCTCAGCACCGAACAAGAACCACCAGCAAGGCCTAAACAGCCAATTAATTGGAATTTTTTAGCTCAGTGTCACACAGAGAACAGAGAAGGGACCTCTGAGGGCCCCACTGAGCCCACAGGTGGTACCCAAGGGGGTGCAGGCAGTTGGCCCAGCTGGTACCTGCCACCTGGTGTTTATCAGCTCATTTATTTATTTTTCTCTCTCTTTTGGACCGTTGGGTGGGTTTGGGGGTTTTTTTTAGGTTCTTTTTTTCCCCAAAAAATTGCCCTGTATGTGTTTTTTATTCTTGTTCAAGCATTACAGTCGTAATGACGCTGTGACATGGTGGAACATTTCCAGTCAGATCACAGACAACAATTGTTCAAGCCAAGTCTAAAGCTCTAGAGTCAGCAGTGACCTTTCAGAGGTAACTTGACTATCTGGCTTTAAAATCTTTGGGGTTTTTCAGCCTTACCTGTCTCTGCTGGAAGGTGACATTTCAGCTGTCAGCCCCTTCCTCGCTCAGACCCCAAAATCAGGGCTCCACTTCCCACCCCGACCTCCCCAGGGGAAAGGTCTCTGTTCCAGCCCTTCCTGTCCATCCCATGCCTGGCTCAGGGCAAACTGAGGCTCAAACATCGATGCACCTTGTGATGGAACAGGGAAAATGCTCTTCCAGACCCCCTCATCCCTTCTCCCTGCACCCAGAACACAAGGAGTGCTCAGGGATGAGACCTGAAGGAAGAACCAGGTTCCTTTTTTGGCCACTGCTGACCCGCCCACGTGACTAATCAACCAAAATAAAACCAAAATAAAAAATAGCCCGAACCACTCCTCAGCCCCAAAATTAGTTCTTGGCACTCCAGCAGCTTTACTGCTTGGCCCTCACGTCAGCAGCGAGGGAACTTTGTCACCAGAGAGAATATTTGGTTTCCTGACACTGAGTTTTTGCTGATTACCCATAAGGGGTGACCGAAGAAAGCCTCCAGTTCTCCTGTAAGAGGCTGTTCACGTGAAAGCTGCGTAATTGCTGAATGACTAACGAGCTTTGTTGGGCCCAAATTTGCCTTGTAAGCTCCAGCTCATCAATTATTTTCGTGCCACCGTGGAAAAACTCCACGAGAACCTGCAGGATTCGCGTCCTGTTGAGGGGGGGGGAACTGGTTTGTGCTCTTGGGGAACAATTGTCTGTCAGGGTTTGAGGAAAAAGCCCTTTGCTGGGACAGCACCAAGAGATGTCACTCAGGAGATGAAGGGGTTTGGCACAGGGAGTTTAAAGCAGTGGAATTGGGGAAGGGGCTGGAAAATGAGTCCTGGGAGGAGCAGTTGAGGGAGCTGAGGGGGCTCAGCCTGGAGAAAAGGAGGCTCAGGAAGGATCTTGTTGCTCTCCACAACTCCCTGACAGGAGGGATGAGCTGGAGGGGATCGGGGTCTGTTCCCAGGGAACAAGGGACAGGAGGAGAGGGAACGGCCTCCAGCTGTGCCAGGAGAGGGTCAGGTTGGACATCAGGAGGAATTTCTTCATGGAAAGGGTTGTTAAACATTGCCAGGGGCTGCCCAGGGAGGTTTGGAGTCCCCAGCCCTGGAGGTGTCCAAGGAAGGGCTGGATGTGGCACTCAGTGCTCTGGGCAGGGGGATGAGGCGGGGACAGGTCAAAGTTTGGAATCAACGATCCTGGAGGTGCTTTCCCACCTCAGGGAATGAATTCTGTGAGCCTGGGGTGGAGCAGCAGCTCTGCTGGGCTGCAGGGAGCCTGGAGGGACACGGGCAGAGCCCGGGGTGCAGCTCAGCCCTGCAGTGGGGGCACGGTGAGGGTGGCACGGGGACAGCAGGACCCCCCCAGGACACCCCAGGACACCCCCCAGCAGTGACAGCTCACCCAGTGCTGCCCAAAGACTGGGGTGGAAAAAAAGCTGGAGGGCAAATAATTCATCTGCTGCCTGAAACCAGGAGATAAAATTGCTGTGTTCCTTCAAATTGCTGTGTTCCTTCCTTTTTTTTTCCCCCTTTTTCCTAGAAGTTCTGCTTTTTTGCCAACCTGGAGCATTTGCAGCGACAGGACTGGGGCTGCCAGACCTTGAGGTCTTGCAGTGCCTAATTCCTGCTCCCTTTGTCTCTCAGAGAGGATCTCACCTGGCCCAGGAGAGACAAACAACGTGGCAGAACTCATAAAATGAGTTAAACCCTCACCCCAAACCCTCAGGGCTTTACAAAGACCCCCGGATCCTTCCCAAGGAAGGTCACCTGTGCAAGGAGTCACCTCTCTGGGCTCCAAAAGTGAGCCCGGGGAGTAAAAAAACTGAATTCCCAGAGGGAAACCAACCCAGACAGAGGCAAAACCCCCCCAACCAGGCTTTGTGTTCCCTTCCCATCTTCAGCAGCTGCCTGGGTGTCTGTCCCTGACCTTTCTGATGGCAAACCTGAGTCACCGCGAGGCTCCTCCGAAGCAGGGGAGGATGTGAAGAGAAAAAAAGCAGGAGATAAAGGATCTGGGGTAGCCACAGCAACAGAAACTCGTCACAGGCTGGGGAGAAACCCACGAAGAAGAAAAAAGGCAAAGGAGGAAGTGAACATGAAAAGCATAAAGTGACAGATCGGGGGGGGGAAGTTTTGGGTCTTGTTAAAAATAATTATGATCGCTCCCGTAACACGAAATACGTCTGGAACAGCCAGGTCTGAGAGGAGGGTTCACAGACAGCAAAACCCAGCTCATTTTTTCCAGTGTGGCTCTCAAAGACTGTCTGTTCTTGCCCCAGTCCTTCTCCAAAACTGAATGACTGCTACCTGTTCTCGCCCCAATCCTCCTCTAAAACCGAATTACTGCTGTTTCTGTTCTTGCCCCAATCCTTCTCCAAAACCGAAGGCAGCACAGCAATAATGCAAAAAAAAAAAATGGAAAATCCCTTAATTTTAAACAAATATGCTTGATAAAACTCCAGGCAGAGAGAAAAAAATACTGTGGATAGAAAGACAAGAGGACTTGGGGTTTTGTTTGGTTTTCCGCCCATGTTTTGGGAGCAACCCAAACCTCTGCAGCTCCTCACAAACAATGGAAGGGGCTGTAACTCATGGCTGGTGCAGCTGAAAGGAAATGGAATTATCCATGGGGAAAAAAAGGCATTATTCTCCCCCAAAAATACAGTTATTAGTCATTTTTACAGATGGTTCTTAAAACAATCCCGAGGGGCCAGATTTAAGTGACAACAGTCAGACACAAAGCAGCCCAGCCTCATGTTACCGGCTCAGGCTGGGGGTGAAAAATAAAAGCTGAAGTGTCTCTCAGGTGCCTGAAAAAGAGGGGAAATCTGAAAGGTTGAAAAACAGGAACCCACTTGGTGACAAGGCCTGCACCTCTGAGAAGGGAAAGTTTCATTTCTGGCAGTAGGAAGACGAGCGTGGGCAGAGGCAGCACCAAATCATTCACCACTCTCAGCTACTTCCTGCCATTTTAGGGAGGACTGGACCAAAAAAAAAAAAAATTCCAAGCAAGTTTTTTCACAGAAGAGTGACAACGGCAATTAAAAATAAAAAATTGCTATTCCTTCATTTCCAGGGAAATATTTGTGTTGGTTTATTTAGACTGGCAACTCGCCAACCAACACTCAAATCCTCAGCAAATCCAGTCACAAATCACAAACTGCTTTGGGTTGGAAGGGACCTTAAAGAAAAGCTCATCCCAACCTCCTGCCACGGGCAGGATTCCCAGTAAACGCCTTCAATCCTATCAAATATTATCTTTGAGTTTTTTGATGGGATCACCCAGCACAGGGATGGGATCCCCCAGCACAGGGATGGGATCACCCAGCACAGGGATGGGATCACCCAGCACAGGGATGGGATCACCCAGTACAGGGATGGGATTATTCAGCACAGGGATGGGATCACCCAGCACAGGGATGGGATCACCCAGCACAGGGATGGGATCACCCAGCACAAGGATGGGATTATCCAGCACAGGGATGGGATTACCCAGCACAGGGATGGGATCCAACTCTAGGGCAGGATTGAGCAAATGCCACTCGTCCTCAGCTCCCCCAGCAGGGTCAGGAGATGTTCCTTCTCCAGCCCCGTTTTTTGAGGAAATCTCCAGCTGGGGAAGCTGCAGGAAGGCACAAGAACACTCTGTATTGGGTTCATTCCTGTTCAGCTGAGCCAGGGAGATTCCTGGAAGCAGCTGATGAGCCCACGGGGCAGAGGGGCTGAGACTTGTGACGCCACCAGCTCATCTGTTCCTGTGGGCTGCCCTTATCACAACCCACAGCAGCCTCACAGGGCCCAGGAGTTCTCAGCACCTCTCTCACTTACAGGGAAATGTGGTTCCTGCCCCGTGGCCCCCGAGCTGCTGCTGCCCACGGGCTGCTGCTGCTCCTCTTCCGAGAACCTGCCGGGTGTTCCCTGGAATCCCTGCTCGGAGTCATCCACCCGCCCCCCAGGAGGAGTGAACCTTGAGGTTCAAAGAGCTCTTCTGGAGGGGCTGAGCCTTATCATGTGCCAGGTCCTGCCCTTTGGCCACAACAACCCCCTGCAGCGCTACAGGTTGGGGACAGAGGGGCTGGAGAGCAGCCAGGCAGGAAGGGAGCTGGGATTGTGGATGGGCAGGGAGCTGA